GTGTTCAAATGTGAGGCCCTTGGCTCCATGTGAGGCAGGTGGCCTTCATGACTAGTGTCACTATATAATTTATTGTGCAAACCAGGACTTTTGAGAGGGTCATTAAAGGAAGCACTGGTAATAATTGTGTTGGGAAAACAGGTCTGTAGTGGAGCTGTTTTGGGCAAACGGGAATATACGGTCACATTATTTATGAACCCACCGCAGCTCTACTGATCACCATTGTCCACCTTGACCTCTCCCTACTCAGAGACCATGACAGCCCTGTTTGTTGTAGCATTTACTTAGCCCTTAGCCTATGCTGTCTGGAGCCACTTTGCATTTGCTTTTGTTAGGTATCGATGTCCTGTCTTCCCAAGTGGACTGTAAGTGCCTGAGGGCAAGGACCCCATCATATACTTCCCTGTGACCCGAGTGTGCAGATAGGTGGCTTGACAAAGAGATCAGTGATAGTTCCCCTTTCTCTGGGGCTGAAAGCCACCGTCACTACTTGAGACCATCATTACAACAGTTAGTACTGTTACTACTTGAGACCTTCACTACGATAGTTACTACTGTTACTACTTGAGACCTTCACTATGACAGTTACGACAGTTACTACTGTACTACTGTTACTACTTGAGAACATCACTATGACAGTTACTATTGTTACTATTTGAGATCGTCATTACAGCAGTTACTGCCACTACTCCTTGAGACCCTCATTACAAGACTGAATGAAGGGATGAAGATAGAAAATGAAAACTTAAAGAAAAATAAACTGTTTTAAAGGAAGGGTCCAGGGGAAGAAGAAGAGAGCTCCCTGCTTCTCGTGAGCAGCCCTTGAGCTTCCACAGCCCTTCATATTTATTGGGTAGCAAGAGCAGGGAGGAGGAGGTAATGATCAGTTGGCTGCTTAACTGATAACAGGTTCATATTATTATTAACAGGCTTCAGATGTACCTAATTTGCAAGAAACACTGTGCTTGGGGCATGACTGCCCTCAGCGTTCCTTCTGGGTGGCAGATGCAGTTTGTCAGTTTGCCAACATTCTGCATTTATAAGAAACCGTTTGTTGTTTACTCATATAGCCTCCAGTGGTATACTGAGTTGATCATGACCCTCATTCTTTCGGCCTGTAACATTTCTCTACCTCATGAGGTCTCTTGAGGGCCTGCGCCTAAATCCTGTCATTTGACAGTGCAGTTGTCTCTTGTTATAGTTGGGGAATTGGTTCCCAGACCCTGGAGTATACCAAAACCTGCACACACTCATCTTGCAATTGGCTCTGCATATATGTGGCTTTTGCATCCCTCTGTTACTGTATTTGCTTTTTTTAAATTTTAAGACAGAGTTTCGCTCTTGTTGCCCAGGCTGGTGAGCAGTGGCAAAATCTCGGCTCACTGCAACCTCCGCCTCCTGAGTTCAAGCGATTCTCCTACCTCAGCCTCCCAAGTAGCTGGGATTACGGGCATGTACCACCATGCCTGGCTAATTTTTGTATTTTTAGTACAGACCGAGTTTCACCATGTTGGTTAGGCTGGTCTCAAACTCCTGACCTCACATGATCCACTCGCCTTGGCCTCCCAAAGTCCTGAGATTATAGGCGTGAGCCACTGCATCTGGCCTGCTGTATTTTCTTTCTTTCCTTTTCCTTTTGTTATTTAACTGAATAAGTAAAAATGTTGGTATCCTTTCTTTTCTTCTTGCTCTGTTCTCCCCTCCCTCCCTCCCTCCCTTCTTTTCCTTTCCTCCCTCCCTCCCTTCCTTCCTTTCCCCCTTCCCTTCCTTCTTCCTTTCCTTCCTCCCTCCCTCCCTTCCTCCCTTCTTCCTTTCTTCTTTCTGGAGATAGAGTTTCACTCTGTCACCCAGGCTGGGTGCAGGGGTGTG